CTTTTGTAAATTTGTTTTCGAATATCTTGATTAAATTTAACTAAAAACGTTTCTCGGTCTCATTTTATTTCAATTTCAAGTTCTTCAATCTTCTTTTTAAGTTCGTTGATGTCTGAGAGAGGAATATAGAATCCAACATTCATTAACTTTTTGAGAGAATGTCAGACCAATCTGAATAAAATAAACTTAATATTTTCTATAATTTCATACTAGAATAGAATTGGTAATGATATTTAATATCTTTTTGAAAAAAAAAAAAAAAAAAGGTAGTGGGGCTTCCAGGCACTTCGTGCCCTCTAGCCCCGAAGATGTTTAGTATAAATGAAGTTTTTATTCGGAAAATTGTTCGTCTTCTGGTGTGAATTCGGAGGACTCTTCTTCTTCCTCCTCCTCCTCTTCCTCTTCTTCGTCATCGTCGGCGTAGTGGAGGAGGACGTAGTTCATCCAAATTCTGTATGGACGTCCTGATTTGGATTTAAATGAGATGGACATATTTTGTGTGAGTGTTATTTCAGTTTCGATAAAGAGTTGGTGTGCTGGTTTGAATATATGTTCGACGTTGGAGAATTTGTGCAACTCATCTTCTCCCAATTCTGTATTGATACAGACTTCGATGAAGTCACCACTGAGAATGTCTTCACCTGTGGGCATATCCACAACAATTAAATGAACGACACAATAGTTGTGAAATTCATTAGTAGGAAATACTGTTGCAGGCGTATTATATGAGGGGAAAAATGTTTTTTCTTCCCCAAATTCATCTGCTACTTCATCTTCATCGTATCCGTTGTTAAAAGCTTTAAATTCATGTACAATTTGAGCAAATTGTTGACGGAGATTTGGTGGCATACGTAAGCAAGCTTGTAACAATGTCCTACCTTCCACACACTCAGCAAATATGGAAGGTAGGAACATATAATGTCCGTCAATTGGTCCTGGTTGGGGACCAATTGACAGAGTTTTGTGTATGCCGTTATTGTTTCTTTAACGGTATTTGTGTAGATACGGTTATATGGAGTATTTCCCTGGTTGTTAAGGGAAAAATACTCATCCGATTGTAATTTCAATCTTGACCTCAACTCTTTGTTCGGTATTCTTTGGTCTATTCTTAGAGCTGTATTTGTTCGTGCGGGCTGTGGTTTTAAAACATTCGAGTCAAGTTTTAATTGCTTCGAATTGGATGTCGATTTGAATTGGGAGTCTTTTGAGTTCTCCTGAGCTTGGTTCTGTATTAAAGACTGAATAGCAGTGTCAGCTTCTTGTTTTTTCGAGATAGTATTCTATTGAATTGGCTTCACTGTTCGAGACGCGTACATTATGAAAAATGAACTGTTTTTTTCGGACCACTCATAGAAAAGTTTGAGATGAACCGTTTTCGTCAACGGTAACCCCCTCTATTTTTTTATTTTATTTAATAGTTACCGTTGGAAAACCGTTCCATCTCAAATATTGAATGAACTATAAACGTTTTTTGTTTTCTATATATACTTTTTTGTCCAACGGTAAAACTTTTTACACAACGGTTTTTGAGAGTCGTCGCCGTTGACTTTTTTGTAGAGCACTCAAAATAGTATAACTTTGTCCGGACAAGTAAGGGTCTATCATCGCTACAGGAAAAGTTACAGGCGTTCCAAGGAAGTATACTTTGAGAAGCCTTTTCTCCCTTTTAAAACAGGATAGAACGGTTATTTTACAAAACTGACAACACTTTGACCGAGTAGTTTTTTGTGCTGAACAAAAAGTGCCATATAAACATCTGTCAAAAACCGCTTTTTAACTTCACTTAAAATGCCACGTAAGCTACGTAAGAATATACGTAAGAGGAAGAGAGCATTGAAACATCCAATAGTAAAACTGACACCACAACAACAGTTGCAACAACAAATGCTGAATGACCCCACTATGTTGCAACAAATGTCAAGCAATCCTATGCTTTTAAACCGAGTTTTTGGTGCACAGAGTGGAGGTTTAAGAGCGGCACTTTTAGCGAAAATGGCAGGCTATGGTGGAGCTGCAGACGGAACAGCCTATAACCCTCAAAGTCAAATGAATTTGAGTTCACTCAAAAATCAAATATCAGATGTCAAAAAGTCAAACATAGACATACAGAAGCAAATAAGTGAAAACGAAAAGAAACTAGAATATGACAGACACACAAAGAAACTCAATGAGTTAAACGTAGAGAAAAAGAAGAAAGAAGAACAACTGAAAGAACTAAGTACAGAGGAATATGCGAAAAAAGTGTCAGAAAAAGCAGCAGAAGTAGCAAAAATGGAACAAGAGTTGTAAATTTGAAAAACCATACTACTCAATATAAAGTACTGAAAGATGAAGAAATAAAACAAAAAGCCCTGAAGACATATATGGATAGCGATGAGTATAAAAAAGAAGTTGAAGCAAATGTAAAGGCAGAAAAACTTTACAGTTGCAAAACCAAACCGTACAGTATGAAAACTTAGCACAAGAAAGTAAAAATAACGACGCAGCCATGCAAAAGGCAATGAAAAGCGCAGAATATATAAAAGCTAACAATGACTGGTTAGATGCCCAAGCCAACGCCAAAGCAGCCCAACTTATAGGGTCAATAAGGACAAAAATACAAGCGGATGAAGACAGTTCAAATGAAGCTTTAACAAATGCTGACTTTAAGAACGCCTTCGAAGCTCTTCATAGTAAGGTGAAACAAGTGAACGACTTCTCATCTGGAAAGAAACTGAAGTCTGAAGGTTTCGACAAAGAGTTAAAAGAAGTAGCACAAAATATGACGAAAATAACAGATGCAGCAACGAGACAGGCAGTTCAAAGTGCCTATGACGCCGTTAGAGCAACTGTTGTGGAAAGTCAAGAAAAAGAGTTACAACAGACCAAAACAGACCTAGTAAATGCTTTCTTAAAAACGAAAAGTCAGGTAGGACATTACGCTGCAGATGGAACATATGTGCCAGCTGGTGGAACTTATATACCACCAAACCCTCCAAGAGAAGCACCTGCACCAGGACTACCTAAAACATTTACATCGTCACATGGACACAGACACAGGCATGCACCAAAACCAACACAACAACAACCACAACCAGCACAACAACCAACAGTTCAAAATCCAGCACCACAACCAACAGTTCAAAATCCAGCACCACAACCAACAGTTCAAAACACTGCACAGCAACCAACAGTTCAAAACACTGCACAGCAACCAACAGTTCAAAACCCTGCACAACAACAACCACAAACAGAGCAAGGACATAAAAAAGTAGTGAGAACAAGGAAACCAAGAATTCTTAAAAATGCTTAAGGAAGACTATGGTTACCCAGATACTCTTGACTTTAGTGACAGATATAAAGAAGCTATTGGAAAGTTCAAGGAAGGAAATACTGACCCGAACCTATTTAGCTTTATGGTTCTGGTGTCTGTCAAACCATAATACACTATTCAAAAATTCAATGTGTCGTGCGGTTTCAAAAGACACCTTCAAATTGAACGATAGCACAGACACTATTGAATTTTACCCATTTTATTTAGTTTTTACCCTTTTTATTTTTAAGAATTAATGACTGAAACAGCCGTTTTGCTATGACCTCAATCACTTTTATTTATTATTTTAAATATTATTTAATTTTATTATTTGAATAGGCCAACTTATATTTGAGAAGCTCAATTTGAGACCACTTAAAGTCTTTTCAGGGGGGTTATACCGTGATATTAGCCTTGTACCGAAAAAAGTGACGGGCAATGCCGTAAAATAATATTTTATTAAAAAATTTTTGGTGGAGAATTGGAAAATTTTTGTTGGAAAATTGGAAAATTTTCCTAATCATTTGGACTATAACCTGGCATATTAGGGAGTTTTGTCAACAACTCAGTGCTGGGATCAAGATAGTTTGTAATCCAAAAGTAGAAACGTTCCTTGGTGTCTTGTTCTGGCTTCCTGCAAAATCTGTGATTTGCAGGATTCTTCTTAATATTGTCAGAAATTGCGCAAATCATGTCCATCGTCGTCAATTCTTCACCATTGATGTTAAAACGATTTCGATTACGGTAATTTCTTTTCTCTTGCAATTCTTTTTCTGCAGGAGTCAATTCACGAACATACTTATTATGTTTGAGAGCTTCTACAGAACAAGGGCAAAGACCGCAGGCGGCAGCAGCATTTTGAACCGTTCTTAATGATACTGATTCTTGCCATGCGCTAATAAATGAGTAGATAATGGCGTAGCGCATCATTGCAGCATTGCTGTTGAACTCTTGCTTCGGTGCCTTAATGTAATCTCAGTTAGTATCCCTATCTTGGGTACGGCGGCACTGCGTTCCACCTTACCCAAGATAACGGTTTGACACTTTACAAAACCGTTAACGTATATTTTACAACACAAATGACAACACTAACTTAACCTTAAATATTTACAAAGCCACCAACCACTTCACCTCACTAATGTAAAAATAAACGTTCTCACTTACAAAAGTATTGCAACTCCTCCCATTGCTGTGCTTCACATAACAGCTCATAATCTTCTGACTCACTTTCTTCTTCATATAGGTCAAAGTCACTGTCAAAATAAATGTTAGTAAGTTTTGACAAAGCTAATGAAACACGTTTACCGTTTGTATCTATTGCTTTTATATATCTCCCATTATGTTTGTTGTCGTAAACGCTCAAACTAACTTTACCCTTTCTCCCTCGTATCTGATAGAATGTATTTTCACGAGGAACGAAGAACAAATTCTTGAACTCATGACCGTTGTAGTTTGTTATCTCAATAGTTTTCGTCATTTATATAAAAATAAAATAAAAAATAAAATAAAAAATAAAATAAAAAATAAAATAAAAAATAAACTTAAAAATTAATGATATCACCACCCTCACACGTATGAAAACATAGCACAAAAATAAATTTAGGTGAAGTGGTGAGATCTCACCTCTTTTTTCACCTGTTTTTTCACCCTGTTGAATTCATTGCTTTATAACTCTCTTTCTTGGTTTCTTTTTAGTTGCTTTCTTCACGTCTGTCTCCAGCTTAACTGTCTTTCTTCTTCGTCCGTAATGATACCGGTTACTTCCACCAGTTAATGGGTCAACTGGTCTTTCGTAAGGGTTTCCATACATTCCATAGGGCCCATACGGAAGAACTACTGGTGGAGAAGAAACATTTTCTTTAGTTCCATCGACTCTATTTAAATGCATTGTTTCACCTTTCATCTGGTCATTAAAGTCTTTTGCGTGTTTTGCAAACTCATCGTCCTTTCCTAAAGCATTTTCTGACTCAGTCGCAACCAAATTGGATGCTTTATTTATGAGCCCTATTTTATTTAATCTTAACTTCTTTGCAACCCAGCCTCCAATCTTCCCTTTATTTGCATCTAATGTCTTCGAAACCCTTCCTCCACTCATTTTATTTACTGCGTCATAAGCTCCAAGTGCTTTTGCTCCAAATGCTAATGCTTTTGTTCCATTGCGCCTAAAGCTGCCCAAGCTACCATTTACCCCATATTAAAATCATCTCTCTTCAATATTATCTCATAAAAGTTCTCGTTACTGGAGAAAGTCAATGAAACATAAGCGTTCTCACGGGCTTCGCCCTCACCGCTTTGCGGTCTATCTAACTTCTTTCTTATATCATCTATACGCTTCAAAATGTCTGAACAATTGCTAACATCTTCTACAACAGTTATTTCATCATGAATGACCTTCAAGAACAAGCTCATTTAATATGCTATTAAAATCATCTCAATAATGAGTCCATCCTTTCCGTCTTTGGGTAGCACAACATCTTTCATTGAAGAAGGTTCGACAAGTCTTATGTTAAACTTACTGACAAAGTTTGTTATACTATAATGCTTCGGTGGCGAATACATATAGTTTGAAAGACATAATATAGATTCTTCAGCAAATTCACTTATACTGGATTTTATAACAATG